AACCGGTGGCCTGGTGACAGTGGAAGTGGGGTGAGGTTGAAGAATGGATGTGGAGAGAGAGAGAGGGGGTCGAGATTCGAGATAGTTGGGCAGGTTGTTAGAATTGTCGGTGATGGTGTTGAACTGTTGCCTTCTTAAACGGTGTCTAAGATTACCGTACACTGGTTTTTGATTTACAATATGTTTCCTTGTCCTTCTAGAACACCACAGTGTTGCCTTTTGGATTTGTCGGCGTCAACTAAAGTGATTCAAAATCGAAAGGCAGGATCTTTGATGGAATTGGATGCAAGAGTCCTCAATGTTTGCTATTGATGAACATGTAACCACCAATTTCACCAAGGGTTTGGTGCCTCGAAGCGCATCAGAACGCTTTGCTACCAGGTTTTCTGAACGATTCTGTTTCCTTTAATGTCCGTTGTTGATGAACACAGCAAGGGACACTTTGCCACCAAGTTTTCTGAACAATTATGTCTGGTTTTTTGAACACCAAACATCCCCTTCCCCAAAGCGTTAGCTGACGCCCTCAAGAGATCCTCCAGATCGAAAACCCTACTAGCATTTTAAAAGAAGATGAGCTTCTTGTTCAGTTCCAGTTTGTTGTCGTCGCCACCACTATTGTTAGAACTGCTACCTCAACTTGTCAGTGGCACTGCTTTGTTACGACAAGGAGCAATTGGCGTTTGGCGAGCCGTAAAGCAAAGGGTTAAGGAATGAGTTAGCTTTAAACTTTTGCAGACTCGTTAGAATCGAGCCATTCAAGTACAAAAACTGGAATACCAAATTTGGGGTTTGGGGCTTGGGTGGGTATGAAAATGGCTCTGCGGCCTTGGCTTGCATCTACTGGTGAAGAATTTCGAAGTCCCCCAAGATCCTGATCCTGCCTGTCCATATTTCTTATCATGTATATATACAAGTCGATCGGAGGTCTTGCTCCTTTCTAAAATCCAACTCCTAATCCAAAAGGAAATACAAACTTCTAAACTTCTAAATCTTCTAAAACTTCTAAATCCTATCTGTACATGAATCATACAAATACGGGATCTCCTTGGTCTCTCGTGAGCCTTATCGCCTTATCTTCATCCAATACTCCCCCTCAAGGTGGTGCATGAGGATTGCGAATGCCCAACTTGGGAAGGAAATAATCAAACTGTTTTTGTTTGAGAGCCTTTGTGAAAATGTCGGTAACTTGTTCACTGGTACGTATATTGGAAGGCACAATGGTGCCGGCTTGCAGCTCATTGCAAATGAAATGAAAATCAACTTCAATATGTTTGATTCATTCATGGAAGACGGTGTTTGCAACAATGTGCAGAGCAGCTTGATTATCACAAAACAAGCGTATAGGTTGAGGATGAGATACACCCAAAGACGACAACAGACCTTTTAGCCACTTCAACTCACAATTGGTAGTAGCCATTGACCGGTATTCAGCCTCGGCAGAGGAATGGGAGACAGTATGTTGTTTCTTAGTCTTCCAGGAGATGGGGGAATGTCCGAACATGACAAAATACCCAATAAGAGAGCGACGAGTTAGAGGACAACTCTCCCAGTCGAAATCACAATAGGCATACAATTGCAGATCACTATCAGAGCGCAAAAATATTCCTTGACCAGGACGTCCTTTCAGATGGTTAAATAAGCTAGCTTTTTAACACGAGGACACTGCATAAATTGAGTCAGGACATGGATGCAATAACTGAGCTCCGGCCGTGTAATGGTTAAATAAATCAAACGGCCCACAAGACGTCGATATCGTTCGGGGTCATCCAGAAGTGCTCCGTCAGCAAGGGCAAGTTTATGATTCTGAGTAATAGGAAGGTGAGCAGGTTTGGATCCCAAAAAGCCAGCTTTTGTAATAATATCAAGTGCATATTTCCTTTGGCAAAGAAATATCCCCGATGATTCGCGAGTCACTTCGATGCCCAAAAAATATTTAATAACACCCAAGTCCTTCATGCGAAAACACCGATTCATATACTGTTTAAATTTGCGTATGAACTCCGGGTTATTTCCACCAACGATTAAGTCATCAACATAAACCAGGGCGTGCAAGACAATCCCATTCTTGTGATATGTAAATAAAGAATAATCGAAATAGGACTGTTCAAACCCAAAAGTTTTCAAGGCAACACCCAACTTAGAGAACCAGCTCCGGGGGGCTTGCCGCAGACCATATAAAGATTTTCGGAGTTTGCATACCTTTCCAGTCCCAGAGGCCGAAAAACTTGGAGGAGGTTTCATATAGACCTCCTCATGGAGATCACCGTGCAGAAAAGCATTGTGGACATCCATCTGATGCAATTCCCAATGTTGGGCCGTAGCAACTACTAAGAAGGTTCGTACTGTGACCATTTTAGCCACAGGGGCAAATGTCTCATTGTAATCAAGACCTTCAACTTGAGTGTTGCCCAGGACTTCCAACAGTGCTTTAAATCTTTCAATGGATCCATCAGATTTGTACTTGATTTTCTAGACCCATTTACACTCGCTTGCCTTTTTTCCAGGTGGGAGGTCTTCCAAGGTCCATGTCCCATTGTCTTCCAAAGCTTGTATCTCTTGGCGCATAGCCTCGCGCCACCGAGCATCAGCCATTGCCTCAGAGAAACGAGTAGGTTCTCAGCCTATAGTAACAGTTGCCAAGAAATGTCTATGTTTCACAGAAAAATTATCATACGTCATATAATGAGTTATGGGATAAGGAGTACCTGAGGACTGAGATGATGCAGGAGAAACAGCGGAGGGGTCTAAGCGACGAGCTGAGTGTGTGACAAAGTCTTGTAAATAGCTGGGGGTCCACTTTTCTCGATGCTCGCAGTCTAATACCTCCGTGGTGGGCTGAGGAGCAGTTGGAGTTTCATTGTCTCTGTAATCTGTGTGGCTCCTTGTCTCATCAAGGGGACCTGCCTCCTCATCATTACCCGTGTTCGGATGTCCTTCTTCATCGATCATGTCGGTCCCCCTGACTTCTATATGAGGTGACTCAAATACCATGTCAGGAGGAGTGGCCCAAGGCAACCCAATATTTTCTTTGGCTATGGGAGGACTGGTTACAGAGGGTTGATGTTCCGGAGTGGCAAAGGGAAACTCGGCCTCACTAAACACCACGTCTCGTGAGACGAAGTAATCACCAGACTCAAGGTCGTACAATTTCCACCCCTTTTCCCAAAAGGGTACCAACAAAGACACATTTCCTACTCCTAGCGGCAAACTTGTCACGGTCCCTAGTATGCGAGAAACATAAGCAACCAAAAACTCTGAGATGTTTATAAGGAGGACTTTGTCCAAATAGCATTTTGTAAGGTGTTTTACCACCAAGAAGGGTCGACTTTGTCCAAATAGCATTTCGTAAGGTGTTTTACCACCAAGAAGGGTCGAAGGTGTTCGGTTAATCAGGTATCCTGCGGTCAAAACACACTCACCCCAGAAATTGATCGGAAGATGTGCTTGAAACCTGAGTGCTCTAGCTACATTCAAAATATGACGATGCTTTCTCTCCACACGACCATTTTGTTGTGGTGTCCCAACGCAGGAAGTTTGAAATAAAATTCCTTGTTCGTCAAAATATGACTTCAAGGATTTAAACTCTGTCCCATTATCACTTCTTACCACTTTAACCTTCTTATTAAATTGTCATTCAATCATGACACAAAAATTTTTGAATGTTCTACCAACTTCACTTTTTTCAACCAGCAAATAAATCCAAACTGCTCGAGAATAATCATCAACAATCGTCATAAAATATACCGCGCCACAAGATGCAGGTACTCTATAAGCACCCCATAAGTCACAATGAATTAATGCAAAACAATCAGTCAACTGATTGTTGCTTTGAATAAAAAGATCTCTAGTTTGTTTTGCCTTCAAACAAACATCACAGGTTTTATTCTTACTATTACTGATATTAAGAAGTAAGCTAACCGTTTGATAAGAAGGGTGTCCCAATCTCCGATGCCACAAATCGCATGACCTAATTCCATCTGTCTTGTAAGCTCGAACCGACGCCACACCCTTGAAGACATAGACCCCATCAAGTTGTTCACCTGCACCCATCAAAGTCCTCGAGATGCGGTCCTGTATCGCACACAACTTATTAGTAAACATCACGATATAATCTGTGTCACGAAGTAATTGACTTACTGATAATAAATTACAATTGAGTTTTGGGACATATAATACGTGCAACAATTTAAAATTATTTCCAAGTTCAACGGTGCTTTCTTTCACGGCCTCAGTGTGCGCATTGTTGGGTAACCTAACAGGACAAGGTGCAACATCATAGGTTTCGGCGAGCACATTTAAATTCTCTGTCATGTGATGTGACACCCTAGAGTCAACAATCCATTCAGTAGAGTAATTCTTACCAGAGAGTTTTTCATTAGTCCTGGTTTTGTAAGCATTAAGCATGCTTACAAGAGTCTGCCATTGCTCATCATTAAGCTCGTTCAATCTGGTCCTGTCTCAGTCAGTCACGGTTGCATTAGCAACCACCTCACACCCTACCGATGACTGAGCAACATGGGTTTTTGCTGAACCTCAGTCACATCCGCCAGAGGGTCCATCCCCTTTTCCTTAACCTACTCCACGCCCGGTCGACGTACTGCGGGGTCTGTCTCCCCACCATTCAGACTTACTCGAGCTCTCACCGTTCCTCTCGTTGTTGGCAGCCATGGTAACCGATCAACAAGATTCGTCCGAGCTGATTGATTATTGTAAGTAACACGCCGAGCTTGATTCTAAGAGGTAGATGGACGATCCTAACAAGACTCACGAAGAAATCATAACAAGCGAGCCCGCTGATTCTGAGCTCCTACCTGGTTTCCTCCAATCCTGCAACGCCGAGCGAGAACCAACAGAAGGACTGAGAAACGAAGGTTAAAGTCCGTTCACATTCGAGCTCGTCGTGGCCAAGCAACTGACAGCCAGTCGGTGCCCTCGAAGGGTGCCGCAAACCGATAATCGTTGGAATACAAGGTGGGTGCATAGGAGGCGGGATCGATCTCATGACGGCCTGCGATATCAGGTACTGTACAGAAGACGCATTCTTCTCGGTGAAGGAGGTTGATTTGGCGATCACGGCTGATCTCGGGACGTTTCAGAGGCTGCCGGGAATCGTCGAATATGGAAACACGGTTGAGTTGGTCTTTACCGGTCGGAGGTTTTCTACATTGGAGGCGAAGAGCATGGGTCTGGTCTCTACAGTTTTTCGTTCCAAGACGGAGATGACGTTTTCTGGGTCGGCAAATTCAGAAACTCTAAAAAAATCTGYAGCAATGGCGTCTTCTAGGTTGGCGAATTCAGATCTGGCACGTCAACCCTCTACATATTCGTGAACTGTTCCTGAACGGAAGTAGCAGTGGCGAGGGTCAAGCAAATGGTACTGCAGGGATGTCTTCTTTGGCTGCACAGGGGAGCTTTACATTGCCGAAGAGTAACAAGCCAATCGATGAGGTGTGGAAGGAGATCACTGCTAGTGTCTCTGCTCAGTAGTGACAGAGGAAGACGATTAAGAACAGGGAGTTTGTTGGCTCTGATACCATGAAGAATTTCGAAGTCCCCCAAGATCCTGCCTCTTATATTTCTTATCATGTATATATACAAGTCGATCAGAGGTCTTGCTCCTTTCTAAAATCCAACTCCTAATCCAAAAGGAAATACAAACTTCTAAACTTCTAAAACTTCTAAATCCTATCTGTATAGGAAGTATACAAATCCGGGATCTCCTTGGTCTCTCACGAGCCTTATCGCCTTATCTTCCTCCAATAACTAGCGATGACGAAATCCGGCCAATCCACTATCAGAGTTGATAGACTCGTAAAGGAAGAACAAGTACAAGGACAAGGGTTCAAAACCTTACTTTCAAGGACGACCGAGATACAACTCATCGCCAACAAAAAATGTAACGACAGTTTCTTAAGATTCATCTTTCCTGCAATATTTCTCTTAACATAAGGGAAAAAAAAAAGATATTTCATCCTAAAGGTTACAATTTAATGGTAATGATAATTATCAAAAATAGTAGGGGTGCTTTATGACAATAATTAAAATTAGTTAATTAGCTAAATAGTAAGGGTAGTTTAAGAAATGTATCCTAATATATATTATGAAATCAAATTCCATTATATTATATATTATATATTATATGTTTTATAGTAAAGTTTGGTTAGTTTGATTTTTTTTCAGTTAATCAAATTTCTAATTCTAAAAATTGAAACTGAAACCAAAAGAACTGATCCAAATTAATCAAAAACTAAAATAACTGAACAGAAAAAACTAAAACCGAAATTTTCAGATCAATTTTAGTCAATTAATACTCATCCTTATGTATTTCTCACACGCCTGTCCCAAACTCGCCAAATAGATAATATGTTATTTTATATTATATTTTTTTAATCGCCAAATAAACTTAATATTATAATAGACCATCCATAGTACAAAAGTCTAAGGGGAAAGATGGGGGAGTATCCTCCCAGCAAAGGTTCCGATCAAACGCCTTAGCCTCATTAGCAATCACATGGGCAGGCATAAAAGTAGTTCTATTTACATATAAAAATTTAACACATTTAAACAATTTTTTTAAAGAAAAAAAAATGTGTACACCAAGTCAAGGCAACTTAAGGGAGCATCAATCTGGCGAGCATTCAAGGAGTCCATTGCCATAGAAGAATTTGATTTGATAATAATAGAAAAAAAAATTCGATCCCATTATGTTGTTTTATATTATAAAGTATCCTTATTTTACGAAATTGACTTACCCCTAGTTTATATATTGTCTTTTAATTTAAGGTCTTGTTTATTTTTTGGAATCCACATACCTTTATTATTTTATTTTTCAGGTAAATAAGATAATGACTATTTTATACATAAAAAACCATTATTAAAAGGGGCAATTTTGTTCCATCCAAGTGTTGGCAATTTCCCCCTAGGTTGGAAAGTTGCTTATCCACTTGGGAAATGGATATCACTTACCTGTCTAACTAATACTCAGGGAAAATGAATTTTCCATGGACCCCACATAAATATGAAAAAAGAACACAGGTATTTATGGAAACCAAAATCACATTAACCAACTTCCCCCTCTCAAATTCAAAAATATAGTAGGTCTTAAGAGTATTCCAAGCTTTCCCACAATTCACATGTCAGAAAATACTCATAGAAATGATAAAATGTAATGGTACAAAGCAAAATTAATCAAATACTTTGTACTTTCTATAAGGTATTCCCAATTAGTACCTTGTACTTTGTGCCTAATGCCACTTTGGTCCTCGAACTTTCAAAACATGACAATCCAGTACCTACCATTAATCAATAATTAACCTGATGTTAAGTGACATTTGAAAAGGACACAAATGTCCTTCGAGTGTCATTTAATTTTCTTTATCAACCTTCTAAACATTGACAAAAAATTAACAGTCCCAAATCCTTGCTTCTTCCATTCAAAAAAGTTGGGGTTACATTTGAGTGGGCATTCTGGTGATAAAGAAGAGGCAAGGATTTGGGACTATTAATTTTTTTGTCAATATTTAGATAATTGATAAAGAAGTTTAGATGACTCTTGAAGGACATTTATATCTTTTTAAAATGTCACTTAATGGCTAATTAACAACACATATTGGATTGTCACGTTTTAAAAATTTGGGTACTGAATTGCCACATTTTAAATTCGAAGACCAAAGTGACACCGAGATGAATTTACCCAAATTAATATTTTGACCTTTCTATTTAACGTTGACCAAGTCCTTCCTACTATCAATACTAAGCTTATCGAATTACCCCTTGGACACGCTCATATTGTCCAACAACTTAGAAGGTGATGCCTCCACATTCGGAACCCTAAAAAAACTCTCTTATGATTGACCATACCAATATTTACCTCTTCGTAACCCGTTGCTGCGCTCTTGGTCTCTTCACGTAGAGATCCATTATCCTCGACTCCACCATTATTCTCCAATCCCTCTTTCTTTTTCCCCTCGGATGCATTATTAATCCATTATCCACGAGCTTGAACCAAAGCTAACCGATGCAAGAAATCTCTTCTGGTCTTTGCATGAAAAAAAAGGAGAAGAAATAATCAAGAATTCCTTTTCAATGTTTTTCATTTTTGTTTGGTCTTTTTAGAACCTGATGGAGGGTAATTTGACCCGATCTCTTGAGAAGGTGATACGTGGACGTGACTCAACACAAGCGACAGCTCAGCATAACAGCTCGCTACATTAGAACCTGGCTGCAACTAAGTAACGAGCTCGCAGGACAGCTCGCCACAGGATGAACTCGCTACAGCGCGAGCTCGAGGACCCCCGATGTACTGAAAGGGAATACTCCAAGACAAGTCTATCCCAGCTCACGAACTAGGATAACCAGCTCGCTCTAATACTTAGGCAGGAGAACTGCCCCAAAGGCAACCTCAGGCGGAATCACCTCGAAGTACCTCTAGGAGCTTGCTACAAGGCAGCTCGTAACGGGATAGCTCGCTACAAGGCAGCTCGCTACTAAGTGACTGACGGCATCACTTAGTAGTCCCTGCCAGCCTATCTGACAAGACCGTACCCGTCAGACCACGACGGAATCTTCTATCTGACAAGACCGTACCCGTCAGACCGCATCACGTCTCCTGACTGACGGCGCAGTCCCTGCCAGCCTGGCAGACTGCACCCACGTCTCTCGACAGGTGGTGGCGTGTCTGTCTTTTCCGGGACGTGTCACTCATCCGATTGGGTAGTACTCTGCAACAGTTACCTGCGCAGCCTGGCAAATAACGACTACGACAGAGGTCCAGTGGCGGTTACGCCCAATTTGACAAGAACGCCCAAATTTAAGAGCCCCACGATCGAAGGGGAAAATGTATCTTGCATCTCGTATCTTGAGTTAATCTCGAACTTTCATTGATCTAGCGCTACCTGCACTTTTAGCTCTCTTTGCATTCCTTACTGCTCTCTCAAGTGTTCTAACTTAAGCAACGGAGTATTCCCACCAGGTAAGTCCCCTAGGAATCCTTCACCGTCTTCTTCTCAGGTACCGTCTGTCGCCAACTAGGAGTGCCCGGATTGCGTTACATCATTTGGCGTCGTCTGTGGGAAATGCTTCAAAAAGCCTTCCTCTAATCTCTGCAACTCTCTCTAAGAACTCAGCATTCATGGCTTCCTCTAGTAATGCCGGACGCGGTGCCGACCAGAACTCTTTAGGGGAGCAACCCCAGCTCCCAACTGTCTGCATTGGACAATTCACCGTCCCCCTCTCTATTGACAGAATTCCCAGCTTGAACGTGCCCCTCACAGTGGCACCCGTGAACGCTCCACTTCCTGCCGCGGTTTGAGCAACCTTTACTGAACCTTTCGTTGTTTCCCCAGTAAGCAACCAAAACCAGCTTGAAGACCAGGTGCAGTGCATGCGGGCACGCAAGCTCAAATGCAACAGTTCCAGCAATTTCAACTCTACCAGCAGCAAGTGCTGCATCAAGTTTCTTAGTACCAGTACCAACAACAATTCCCTTCACTGCCTCAGGCCCAACAACCACTTCCCCCTCGACATCCGGTATTGAAGCAAGTCAAGCCCTCCCATCGGAGCGAATGTCCTCGCCTGGGAGAGGCCTCTCAAACCCAGAATCCTTCCAAAAGCCAAGCTTCATCCCACGACAAGAAGGAGAGATCAGTCACCCCCGCCTCGTAGCCTGCGGGCAAGTCGGGGGCCTCCCAGCTAGTTAGGCCCGCATCACCTCAGAACTCTCAGTTCGAGCTCCTGCTCACAGAAAACCAGTTCGAGGTCCTTGCCGCAGATTACAGGCATGGCCCTTTGGTTCACAGCTATCATTAGCAGTCCTAGCCCATCGAGCTCGGTAATACTGAAGCCAGCAGCACCAACGCCGAGCCGGCGAAGCAGCAGCGGAGACGCCGACGAGCTCACCGAACCGCCACCCGCGTCCTGCCCGAGCTCAAGGGTATGGAGGAGGAAAGCTCAGATGAAGTAAAAGCTACTCCTTTCCTGTCGGTCCCTTCCCCTCTATCATCAGAACTTCTCGCAGTCCCTATGCCAAAGGACTTCAATCTCCCACCCCTAGATAAGTACGACGGATCCTTCGATCCAAATGATCATGTAGACGCCTTTCAGTCCCAGATGCACTTGGCAAGAGCTAGTGAATCCTGTATGTGTGTGGCCTTCTCCACCACCTTCAAAGGAGTGGCCCGCACATGGTACCAGAATCTTGCGCCCGGATCGATAAGAAGCTGGGCGCAGTTTGTGCAAGTCTTCACCTCCCATTTTGTCACCAGCAAGAGATGCCCAAGAACTCAGGAAAGCCTCCTCGGCATAGTTCAGAAGGAAGGGGAGTCCATCCGGAGTTACATCAAGCGGTTCAATGACGCTTGTTTACAAATACCTGATCTGGACCCCGCATTTCGTCTCACTGCGGCCAAGCGAGGCATTACCCATAAAGAATTCGAGTGGCATGTGGTTGTCAATCAACCCAAGATTGTGACCGAGTTCCTCAAGCTCGC